AAAAAAAAAAGTTGGGCTTTTTTTTTTTTAACATTGCCCTTTTTCAATTATTCAGAGCACACTTCCAGCCTATAAGTATCATACTGTTAGATTTTCTATTAGACACAGTAATTATGTATATTTAATATTCTATTACGGTTTTTAGGCCTATTATAATAGTAACGTAATAGGCTACGTACTTGCATTGGTCATATAGATACTATTTCTCATTTCATGTGACGCTGACTGTGGTTTAGAAGACCTAAATAAAAAAAAACAAAAACACATAGACCCTATTACAATGAAACTAGTGTAATTAATAGGCTTTATGTTAGATTATACTACATAATATTTTCAAATTGCACCACGCATGTGTTTACAATGGTGGCGCCAGGATTTGCCCGATGGGTTGGGGTCTTTCCGATCGACGATCGAGACCACGAAATATAGGGGCGAAGCTTCTGACTTTCATAAAAAATTTTCCTCTAAATAATTTTAAAAAACAGAATTAAGGGTTTGGCCTGTCAGACGGGGACTTTAAATCATCCTGGCATATTGGCGCAGATTTTGTATGGTTATACAGAAGGCCATATATTTAGTTTGCAGCACACACGTGACTACGTAATGACTAGGCAAAGAGCAATAATTTACATTTTTAACGGAGAAGTGCAACAATTTATTGAGACCTTTAATATGGTTTCTATTAACATTTAATAGATAACTGTTATTTTTTATAAATAAAATAGGCTTACTAATAATCCGGTGATTATTTGAATCATGACCCATATTTTCTATGAAACATTTATATTGCATAAATTTCTTTATGGTTTGCATAAATTTCTCCATGGTTTGCCTGCTAATTATTTTTAAATTTTTATCAGTATCAGTTTATCAGGTATTAAAACTACTTTAACAATTTTAAACCTTACTTTTATATTTTTATATCCATTATTGTTTTTTTAATTTCCTTTTAGATGATAATTAATAAAATGCTTATTAATCAAATACAAAGCCTATTATCTTCAGTATATAATCCTGTGTAAATGTAAAATAAAATACTTGCCCATGCTTTGCTTTCTTTTTTATAAAATACAAAATGATTATTGCTATGGCAATAATTATAAACACAGATACAACTGATCCTACTGCAGCTTTCACTAAAGACTCCCCTCCTTCATTCTGTTGTCCCATTTTGCCAGCAGTGACTGGTGTAGTCTTGTTTTTAGTAGTCTTATATTCGTCTTCAGTGAATTTAGAAGAACTGATTTTAATGAATGTAGTAAAATGCAATGGTCCTGCAGTGTTTGGGGTAGTCGTCCTTTCTTCATATGTTACTTCTCCTTTATCTGTGTTCCTTGGTTCCACGAATTGTTTGGTAGTACTATCTAGACCATGTTTGTCATCCGTGAATCCAGATGTAGCAATTTCACTCAATTTAGTAACGCGTGGCGGTTCTGCATACAAATAACAAACTTATAATTTGTTCATTGATTTTATTATTTTTTTCAAAGAATGATTTTTGGATGGATGGATGGATGAATGAATGATTTTATTATTTTGATCTGATTTGATGAATTTAATAGTACTCTTTAAATTATGAAACATAAAAAAATAAACATGAACTGATCAAATCACAATAGAGCATATTGTGAATAACTCTAGAATTACGACCATGACCATAATTACTCACATTTGAAAAAAATTAAGGGCAATAGTTTAGGAATAGAGTACTTAACTTATATAAAAGATTAATAAGAATAATCATTACCGGAACGGAAAAAAGTCTGCCCTTAATAGGGTTTTCCCCTTAATAGGGGTTGGCTGTAGTGTGAAGATACATTTCCTACCTCTTTTTACAGCCAATAATTGTGTCCCTCTAATATTGGTGTCCAAAAAGAGGGGTTCTGTATTTCACCTGAACTAGTAAAATGTTCGAGAACGAAGTAAGATAGGCCCAATAGCATTAAGTGAGACGTACGTGGGCTGCAGTTAGCTATCTAGATATAAATTAGCAGAACTATTTGTTTTATTATTTTTCATTTATGTTATATATCTAATTGTATATATAAATATATAAGTATATATATATATCATCGTAAATGTGCATGTATATATGTATGTATGTATGTATATGTACACATCT